AGAGAGAAAGTAATCTGAAACAAGGATGCTAACACATTAAATGCCTTTCTGAGGATTAAACAAAGTGCCACATCCAAGAGGACAGAATGTTCAATGGCAGCCCCTCTGGGAACATGAACTTGAAGATGGATCCCCCTCCGGACAGTACAATCAGAAGTCAAGGCCCCTTCATCCTAACCTAGCATGAGGAGAATCTGTTCTGCAAATGGCGATCAGATGAAGTTTCAACCCTAATCCTTGTCCACATTGACATACACCCTTGAACAAGGTTCCAGTTTCAGAGCCTGGTCTCATTTAACACAAAGAATAGCCCTATATAGGGAGGCACGATATATGAGAGTTGAAGGATGGCTGATTTTGATCATAGAACAGGGTATTACAACTAGAATACAAGAGAGAATCAGCTCCAGATGACCACAAACTATATGGTAGTGATTTCATTCACTCATACATTTACCAAAAACTATTTATTGACTACCTACTATGGACCAGATGTAATTCATGCTTCTAGAAACAACAATAGATAAGACACTGCCCTGGTGGTGTTTACATCCTAAGGAAAGTAGGTCAGTGATCCTATATAGATCACACACTAGTCAATAAAGCATGTATATAAAATTTAAAAGGCCTTTCCTTATTCTTCCTCTTGAAAATTATTCAAGCTATACTGACTCCTCTGCATTTCTCTTTATCTAGAAACAGTCCATTTCAGAAAGGAAAACCAATAGAGATTTTGATAAAGACTATACTGAATCTATAGATCCCTAAGAGGAATATAATCTTTGGAATATTTAATCTTCTGATCCATCAATGTCTGATGGCTTTCCACTTGCTTAGATATTTAATTTCATTCAAAAATGCTTTGTAGTTTTTAGTGTAGAATTTGTGTACTTTCATAAAAGTATCCCAAAGTATTTCACTTTTTCGATGCTACTGTAAATGAATTTGTTTCCTTGATTTTATTTTTTCATTCCTAGAGTAGAGAAATGTAATTGGTTGTGTACATTAATCTTGTATCCTATTACCTTTCTGGACTTTATTAGTTTTAAAGTGTATGTGTGTATGTGTGTGTATTCTTCAGAGTTCTGTATACAATATAATTTTATCTGCAAACAGAGGTAGTTTTCTTTCTTCCTTGAGCAGTATGAATGCCATTTATTATCTATTTATCTAGTAAATCTGTAATAGAGGCAAACCACTCACCAAGTGCATCCCAGTGTGACACAGTAGGAAACAGTTCCAACCATAAAGCATTCTGCCAGAAAATATGAACCTGCAACTACTCAAGCCTCTGTATATGACCAGTAGTTTACAGGAAATACGAGGGTAGGGAACCAAGTTAAATGACACTACACAGAAGCAATTTGGTAATTTCAGAATGTAGGAAATTATAAAGGATGAATGACTTAATTTTCTTAGTAAACATACATTTTTTAAAAAGAATGGTTTATTTATTTAATTTTTTTTTGTTATTATTATTTTTCAAGTTGACCACAAAGAGAGAGAAAGAGAGAAAGAGAAAGTAAGAAAGCAAGCCACCAGGTCCAGGACTCAAACTGTGGTTGGCCATATGAGAGTCCAGCACCTTAACTACCACACCACCTGCCAACCCCAACATAAAATATTTTTAAAAGGAAGAAAACTGGTCATGGAGTAGTAAGATTTAAGAGATATGGCAATGAAAAGTGATAAGCAGGACTTATTTGACTCACAATTCAAACAAACCATCTAACAAAGACAATCAGGAAGTTTGAATATAGATTAGATAGATATCCAATAAGAATAAGAAATTATAATTTTATTTGGTGTAAAAATGACATAAATTAATTTTTTTAGAAAACAACAAAAAATACTCCTTTTACTTTTTTAAGAATTATTTTATTTCATTTCTTTTATTTATTTTTAATTTATTTTTATTTTTTAATTTGTGATAGGGCACATGTACTCACTCAAGCAAGACAGCAAGAGAGAGAGAAAGTAAAAAAGCAAGCCATAGGTCCAGGACTTGAACTGAGGTCAGCCATGTGGGACTCCAGTGCCTTAACCACCACACCACCTGTTGGCCCCTCTTTTACAAGTTTTAATACATATTGTAATGAACATGAGATAATGTATTGTTTGGTCTGGAGAAAAACAAATGGATGAAAATGAGAAGGACAGTTGATAAACAAGGTTGCAAAGTATAATAGTTAAGGCTGGGTGATATCTACATGGGATTCATCATATTTTTTCTGCGTGTTTGACATTTTCCTTGACAAAAAAAAAAAAAATTGCACAAAAAAATCTTCTGTAACGTTTCATTACCCCCATTGATAAAAACCCAAGTCCTAACAAGACTGAATGATCTGACTCTTCATCGCCTCTCTGGCTCCCTCTCTTCACTCACTGTGCCAGCTATACCCTCTTCCTTGAACACCTTTAGATGTTCTGCTACCATTGCCCGGCTACCATTCCTCATGCCAGGTACCCAGAAGGGTCTCCCTTCTTCTCTAGGCCTTTGAATACATGTCCTCTTTTCAGTAAGGACTCTCCCAACTGTCCTCATTCACATTTGCATCCACACTACATCCCTTTTATGATTTTTGTAATAACTGCAATTCCCCACAGGAAGTTAGTATTTTCAGGAAAATACCAGACAATAAATTACAAAGCAATTATAGAATTAAGAAATCTCCATTGTGAAATCCCTATTGGTATGATCTAAGTAAATATTTTTCTCTTTGACTCTTATTACTCTTAATATGTTATAAATTTTCCTTATGGCTCTTATTGATTATTGTAATACTATCTAATAAATAATATTGTTTACTATTTTTCCCTTCTTTATATAAGCCCCTGAGAGAGAAGGGTAACTTATCTGTTTTCTTCACTACTGTATCCACAGGACTAAACAAATAATGCCTTGTGCATACAGGCACTCAGTGAGAACTTATTAATTAACTGGGAAAGCACCAAACAAAGGATTTCAACAAACATTATTCCCATCTACTACTCATAATTAGCCACTGATGCAAACAACTTAGACCAGACTTTGTGATCATTCATTTATTCCTACTGTATGTCAGGAATAGTTGTTAAACACCAGGTATAAAAGGTACATTGTTGGGCTAGAAATAAAGTGAACCTTCAAAAATAAACCTGGCATGTGTGTGCATGCATGCTCCAAATCCTGGCAGAATGCAGAAATGAAGGAAAAAGGATTGTGACCCTACCATTCCTTGTTGGGGTGATCCTCTCTCTCTCTCTCTCTCTCATTCTCACTCTCTCTCACACACACAAACACACAAGCGTCTTGACTACTAAAAAAATTAAAATACATATGCACATACAACTGGTTTTACCACTAGAATATGTTTTTAGCACTAAAATATGTTTATGAAACAAACAGCTTTGGTCTTTAAAGTTCTGAGCACAAGCATGTGAGGTACCTGAGCAGGTATTATTACCACTCTACAGAATATATCTTTACAGAAACCCAAGAAGCTAACTGTTCTTCCCAGAGTCATACCCAGTACATCTTGTGAAAGATTCTTGGTGGCAGGGAGCTTCCGGTTGTCAAGGGATGTGTTTTTGTATTTAGTGTTGAGGCCTCCATGCGATCAGTTCGCCCAATGAGAGAGTCAGACACAGCCTGTTCCTCTAGGTGTCCCTGGTTCCAGTCAGGAAAGGGCGGCATCTCTGTGTGTCCACTACCCCACCCTTGTCCTGGGAGGCTGCAGGCTCTGCCACTGTGAGTGTCCATGCGGGTCTCTTGGTCGACACCCTAGCACAGCCGTGCTTGACCCTAACTGAAGCGTTGGAACCCTGGAAGGGGGCGGGGATGAGAGGCAGGATCAAGGAAGTAGCGGTTCCTGGTTTGAACTCCTCCAGCTGCGAGGCCCCAAAGTGAGGGCATTGCCAGTAGAATCACACCCTCTGGGCCTATCCGTGAGTCTAGGGTCCGGGTTGTCGCTGGTGCTAGAAATAAAGTTGGCACCTGCTGGGCAGGTTTTCCCAATAGCCCTAGTCCGGTGCTTCCCAACCACCTTCAGTTGGGAAGAACGCCAATTAAATAGCTCACAGTACTTTTATTTAAAATCCTCCAATCCCCCTTCTTCTGATATGTGTTTTCAATAATTGATCTGTTTTACTCCCATGACAGTCTCTGGGACAAAAGAAAGTCGGCTAATGTATAAAAGATTAAGCATGGTGACTTGGGGATCCCAGGGTCATGGGGAAAATTCTGGCAATAGTGACTCTTGCCTTCCACTTTTTGTTTTCTGGGGGTTTGGTGGGGTTTTGTTTGTTTTGTTTTGTTTTGTTTTGTTTTGTTTTGTTTTTTAGGGTTCTTTTTTTTTAGGCACAACAGGATACTTTAAAAAAAATTTAAAGACAAATACTGTGTGTCCTGTTTAACAAATATTGGGTGTCCACAGCAGAAGCTAAAGGACTCAATAACATAGAAGTAGAGAGAGTAATGCTAGAAACAGCGTGGGAGAAGGAGGAAGGAGTTCAGGGGAAATTGACTAACAGATACAAGTGTGCATGTAAACAAATGGAATAAGAGTATGGAACACTGTACCATAGGAGAGTAAAAGCAGTGGACAAAATATACTTCCAAAAAAAGAAAAGTAGAACAGATTTCAAATGTGCACAACATAATGTAATGCTGAATGCTGAAGATGCTGAATATATGTCCTTGATTTGATTATTACGCACTGTCTGCTTTTAAAAAACCACCCTATACCCCACAAAGATGTGTAATTATATGTAAATCAGAAATTGCAATGAGGAAAAGCAGTCATAAGCAAGGCCAGCTTTAGGGTGTGTAACCTGTTGTTGTACAAGTCTCACAAATAGAAGGGTCTTGCATTTGGTTTCATGTTCTTTTGTCACCTTCCTGAGCTCCTTAAAGGTTTTGAGATAGAGGCCCATATTTTATTTTAATCAGGAAAATTATGTGGTCAGTATTGATCATGGATGTCTGGCTAGAGTAAACCTTGGAAGAAGAAGAAAATGGTAATTGCAGAGCTATCTGGAGAGCTTGTACCATATGGTGAAAGCTGATTTATAAAATAATTGGAAATTTTGAAAGATGATTGTACTATCTTATAACTTGTTAATATCTTGTAAGCTGTTTTAATATCTTATGTGTCAGGCACAATGCTGCATGTATTATTTTTTCACATTTTATTAATTCACAAAAGATCTTAATTTAAATACTTTCAATAGCAAGTGCAGTGTGTATAAACATACCTATAAACGTGTGTCTGACTTTAGGCAGACAACTCAGTGAGTAGAATGAATACACTATAAGGTACTTCCTAGCTGAGGCTATGTAGCTTACTATGGTCATTAAGTAGGGTGTTTTTATTATGTATATATTTTTTTTAATTTCAAAAAAGCAGCTTTAGCTTTAATAAATGAAAATTTTAAAACGTTAAGAAAAACTTGCTTAAGACTTAAAGTCAGAAAAAAGAGTAGGATTCTGTTCAAACAGTAGGTAGATACTAAAAACTAAAAAAACAGATGTGGACAGAGCTAAAGTTTAGTAACAAGTGTACTGTAATTTTCTTCAGAAACATTTTTTTCTCCATTCACCCTTTTACCAAAGAGAGGCATAAACTAACTTATTTGCAAAAAAAATAAGTTTAGTCTCAATTTAGTCTGTTATTTGCACAAAGCCCCATAAGAATACTAATTGATTAGTTTGCTTTGTTGGAACCTTTTATAAAGAACTTCAGATTAGACTCTAAAAAACCTCCCAAGGCTACTGAGCCAAGTCAGGAACTCACCATCTGCCTGTGACTTTTAAGCACGTGTATTTGAATGATTTGGGGGCCTGTCAGGAAGTGACATTCTTTACTGACCTGCCCGGCAGAACTATTTATGGTGCCAGGCAGTCTTTCCAAGAGCTTCTGTTGGCTATCCTGATATCTACTTTAGTTCCTCAGTTTTCTGGTAATATCTCGAAAAATGATATTCCTATCAAAGCCCTGGCAATAACTAGTATTTCCTATTTCTGATGCAAGGAAACAGATATTATAGAACTTATGCAAATAATCATTCTGCCACAAAACAAGAATACTCCCAAATATTTTTCCAATTCCAAAGAGGTCAGGAAGGGAGTAAAGTTTGTATTTCAATTTCAAAAAAAAAAATAAAAATTTAACAAATTGCTGAACCTAACAACAGCTCAAAAGAAGACAAAAATCCTTAAATCTGGAAAACAAAACAGAATAAAATCAGTAATTTTTTAGTCAAAAGTCATAAAAGTCTGTTTCACCAGATCAGTCTCATGTAATTAATCTCTCTACTGTTGAATTTTCAGTGTTACTGTGGTCCGACCTTTCCACTTAAATTCTGGAAGTTAACCTTCAGTGTTGTTATGGCTCTTTCTGGACTTGTCCCTACCATTTAGTTGGCCATTTTCTTGGTTGTTTTTGTATACTTATTTCTATGTGTCTGTCTTTAGTTTTCCTGGTATAGCGCACTCCCTTCAGAACTTCTTAGAGAGCTGGTAAATTCACTCAGGTTTTATTTATCTGAGAATGTTTTTGCGTTTTCTTCCCATCTGAAGGATAATCTTGCCAGGTATAGTATTCTTGGTTGAACTTGTTTTTCACTTAACACTTTGAATATATTTTCCCATTCTTTCCTTGCTTGCATTGTTTTCTTTGATGTTATCCTGATGGAGTATCCTTTGTAGGTAACTTGATGTTTCTCTCTTGTCAGTTTTAGTATCTTATCTTTGTGGTTTTGGTCAGCCTGGCTATGATGTGCATTGGAGATCTTCTTGGATTGATTCTATGTTGGATCCTTTGTATTTCTTGGGTCTGGATATTTGAATGCCTCTCTAGGTTTGGAAAGTTTTCTTTCAAGATTTCATGGAATAGATTATCCTTATCCTTATTAGTTTCTTCACCTTCTGGGATACTGATTATCCAGATGTTTGGGCATTTAATGTATCTAGTATTTCCAATATATTATTCTGATTTTTTGGAGTTATTTTCTGTCTTTTTGGTGAATTTTTCTAGGTCAGAGGTTTTGTCTTCTACATCTGAGATTTGATCTTCTGCATGATCGAATCTGCTTCTAATACTTTTGAGGGAGGTTTTGATTTCCTGTATTACAGCCTTCATCTCTAACAGTTCCATTTGATTTTTTATGGTGTGTGTTTCCTCTTTCAAATCATGCAAGAACTTCCTCACCTTCTGGAACTCATTGTCTCTTTTCTCTTGCATCTTCTGGAGTTTGTCATATCTCTTCTCTTGCATCTCTCTTAGTTTTGTCACTGTAAGTTTTCCAAATGAATTATCTGACATTTCCACAAGTTCCATAGTACCATCTGTGGATGATGAGTTATTCCTCTCCCTTGGGGACAAGCAGTGTTCAGTCTCCAGATACCTTTCTGTAAGCTGGATTAGTGTGAGAACACCTTAAGATTGCTGGTGCGGTAACCCAGGAATACTTTCATGATGACGTATGCTAAACTCAAGGAAATAATCCAAAGGAATGATATGAAATAATTAATGAACTTGTTTCTAACAGTATATAGAAAAGAGGTCAAAAATCATGTCCAAAATGATGGAAGGTAATCTGATAATAAAGTAACTGTAGAGAGGTTGAAGGGAAATAGAAATAAAGCTTTATGACATTCCACTGTGTGCCAGTTCCTACAATTTGCTTTCCAAAACAACATTGTGGGATTAGAACACTGAGTCTCTGGAATATTAAGTAGGACTCAATGATCAATAATCAAGAACTGATATAGACAATTGCTTTTAATACAATAGTGGTTGTGCTATTATATAACTATTCATTGATATAGAAGAGATATGAACTCAAATCTTTCCAGAGTTTATATCATATTATTAAAAGACAAAACCAGACTAGCACTATAATGTATAATGTATAGCTTAACCTGAGAAGGATGCTCTGCCTCTCTTCCAATTAGATACAGTAAGAGAGTAATTCCAACAGGTGATAAACACGGAGGTGAGCAGGGCACATATCCAAAAGTCTATCCAAAATAATGAAGCAATAGAGATCACTCATGACTGCCGTATCTTTTAAACATCTTTCTTACTTATTGTCTTATTTTTCACTAAGTTATGAAATCTTTACCAAAGTTGAATCCAAAAAAAATTATATTCCATAGCATCCCCCATAGTCAGAGTGCAAGCATTTGATCTACATTTTGCCAATCTTAATTTTTTATTTTTTTATTTTATATTTTATTTTATTTTATTTTCACCAGAGGGTGTGTATGCCTGCCAGACATAGACAGAGAAAGAGAAAGAGGTAAAATAAGGAAGTACTTTCCATGGGTGGTGGCCACACTACAATCTCTTCTCCATTTTTTTCTCTCAGAATTTTGGATACACACACACACACACACACACACACGCACACACACCCTGGGTGGGAGGTGGCAAGGGTGCCTCCTCCTCAGCCTAGATCAGTGGTTTGGCTCTGGGTATTATACAACAAACTTAATCTTCCCAATGATTCTCTGCATGATTTAATATCTCTTTTTGCTAGAAATTCATTTGTCTGTATTTAATAATCTTAAGGACTACAGTATTATTTACTATAATTAAAGATAAATAAAATCTAATAAGACAATTAGAATTACCAAGAGGTTAGAGAAATACTTATTTCAGGAAATTGTTCTATCACGAAAATTTTGTGAAAATAACAATAGATTTCTCAACAGCTTTTGATTTATCTGAGAAAATGATTATGTTTATTTTTCTATGTTTTCTTTTAGAAATACATTCTATTCATTCTCTCTAATATCTACACCATATTTTGGATAACATGTCAACACCACACATTGTGTTGAAAGAAGAAGCCAGAATGTTGGGGGTAAGGACTAAGTATTTGTTAATTAAATAAATGACTTTGGTGTTGCAAGCTCCAAATAAATATGTAAGGAAGGAGACATGATTATTCTATGTCAACTATCCAAAGGAAGAAAATGATCCCTTGAGTCCCAACGATCTTACCACTTTGAATGTTCCCATTGTCTGCATGTAGCTATATAAAGAGTTTGAAATAAATTTAAGACTGGGTCCTAAAGGAGATGATGAAGTCAGAAGTCATAGTCAAGAGATACTCTAGATCACAAGGCTTCATAGACACTGATCACCTCACAGTATTATGCTCTTGACACACTTTTTCTACATTTCTCTCAGGAAAGATGATATTCTTTACCACAGCAAACCTAGCATGCTACATCTTTCTGTATTATACACCCTAATTACTAGTCTGAGTCAGAAAAAAAAAAAATTTTTTTGGAGAGGGTTTTGCTATAGGGTGTGTGCACTTGCCAGAAAGACAGAGACAGAGAGACAGAAAGTGAGAAATCACTCCCCCGCCCCCCAGAGGTGATGGCCACACCACAATCCCTTCTCCTCCATTCTCCTCTCAAGATCTTTGGCACGTGAGTGCCCAGAGTGAGTTTAAGCCACCGGGTCCGGGATTCGGATCGCGATCGACTACATGGAAGTCCAGCAACATAGCCATTACGCCAACTGCTGGTCCCAGAAAAAGAAAAAATTTTAAAAAGAATGTAAGATAGTGTGATTTTGAAAAGTACCTAAGTTCCTTGAAAACAGAATCTTAGTATTCCTCAGGTCTGGTTGCAAGTGAGCCCTCTGACTCATGGTGTTGACAGTCAAAATTGCCATCAGAAGAAAATCATCGACAGGTTGAAGGAAATGGTGAAAATGTTTCAAAAGAAAGAGCTAGATCTGAGGAGTATATGTAAGACCAAGTAGACAGGAGGAATCAAGGGCAGAAAGGCCTCTCAGACACTGCAGCACTTATCTTAGAGTTGGAGGACTCCAGGTGTGTGTTCTTCTGACCACGCCCATAAATAAGCCACTAGATGCCTTCGTTTATCTGAAAGCAGCCACACCACAAATGCTTGCTAAAAACCTTCATGAGGGGAACCAGCAGTTAGCGTAATGGCTATGTCGCTGGACTCCCACGTAATCGACCGCAGATCGCGTCCATGACCCGGTGGGTTAGAACTCACGCCGGGCACGTGTGCGTGCGTGCCCAAGATCCCCAGAGGAGAATGGAGGAGAAGGGATTGCGGTGTGGCCATCCCCGCTAGGGGGGTGATTTCTCGCTTTCTGTCTCTATGTCTCTCTCTCTGTCTGGCGAGCGCACGAGCCCTATAACGCCCCCAAAAAAAAAAAAAAAAAAAACCCTCATGAGTAATCATTACATGAGCCACACATAGAAATTCTTTTATGATTGCTACCATCTTTCATCACCTTGACTTCTCTCCCCTTTTTGATAATTTTTAGGACTGAGCTAGAGTGGTAAAAGAGATCCCTGTAATTCAGAAGCATATGCTCCCCATGGCCTTTCTTTCACTTAATTTGTAACTTTCTTGAAATGTGATATGTATGTAACTGATTGACATTCTTGTCTTACAGGCTACCCAAGTAATGATCGGTCTGATTCACTGTGCTCTGGGACAGCTCTGGACATATTTATATGTCAACCATTATGATTTCTTTTCATCAGTCTACCTACCTCTAGTCTTTCTATCAGGATACCCATTTTGGTCATGCATAATTGTGAGTAAATTATCTCCCTGATGATCTTTCACTCATTCATTCAATTTAGTGACTGCTTTTGAGGCCAGGCAATGTACTAGAGACACCATCTGTGAAAACATAATCCTTACTGTCGAGGAATTCGTTATTATCGGTTTGGTATTTTTAAAAGGTGCATTTATTTGTAAAATTCTTCCATACAAAGAGTCTATTTAATTGAGTAAATATTGAGACCAAAGAACAGTAAAATTCCCAATGGGTATTTTAGACAAATAGTGATTGGTGAGTACTCAGATTATTACAAAGCTCATGTTTTCCAATAACATAGGCAAGCTGAAACTCAGGGATTACTCCTGGGGCAATAGAAGAAAATTTTACAAGTAGTTCAGAATAAATAAATAAATTAGTAAGTAGATGAAATAAAGAGAGAAAAGGAGAAAGATCAAAATACTGTGGCTCAAGGGGGATTTGGAAGAATTCAACAGGGATTTGTAAGAGATTTATGTTCTATCTTACAACACAGGATGAACTATTCCACCTCCTTCCATTTCCCCTTCTCAGTAATATCTGCCTATCGGACCAAAGCATTATATTTGATTCACATAGCACATATTTACAGAATACCTACTATTGACAAGACTAAGTGCTTTGGTTACTGTGCTGAACAAAACAGACCAAGATTAGAAATACACAACCTACCAAGACTGGTTTATGAAGAAACAGAATATCTGAATAGAGCACTACAAGGAAATTGAATTGATAATCAAACACTTTTCAACAAAGGAAAGCAACTTGCAATTATAATTTGTATAGGGAAATAAAACCTCATTGAATAGGAGATATGAGCTGGAACTTTAAGGAGTTGAAGTGACAAACCCCGAGAATATCTGAAGGAAAGCTATACAAAAAGAAAAGAATAGGTCCTAGGCTGAGAACAAGCTTACAGTGTTTACTGAATAGACTAGTTTGGAAGCATTGTATTGAGCTAACT